CCCTAGACTCTTAATCATGCCTTCGCAGTTTTCCCTAAACCCTAAACCCTAAACCCTAAACCCTAAACCCTAAACCCTAAACCCTAAACCCTAAACCCTAAACCCTAAACCCTAAACCCTAAACCCTTCATTGTAAGGTCCTCAGACCAAGGATCCTCTGCTTGTTCAAGGCTATAGATATTCGAGTGGAAATGAGGGTCCCATGTAATTATACTGATTGTTTTCGGGGCTGCAAGTGGGATTTAAGGGTGCTAGGATGGCAAGTAAGAATATTACCATCGCGGCAGCAATGACATGAGGGCGGCTGCGATGATGACATTTCTTGCGGCTGCGGCTTGCCTCAGACGCAGATCGTTGGTAGGATTAGCACCATAGCCACGGTCTGCCTGCAACTGTTTCTTTGACATGCGAGCTTTTGGGTTTCGGTTCTAGCTTGTCTGGAGTTTTGGGTTGTCCGACACCGCCTGGTGAAGAAGGTTTGCAAATTAGGGTTGGGCATATGAGATGTTTTAAACTCAGGCCCGAGTCCCCAACCTTTAAACCCAGCTGAGGCACCGTGAAAGACGAAAGAGTTTCGGGCTGTCCAGTGCATTGTCTCGCTTTAGATTTGCCCTCGATTCTTCTGTCGATGCTTCGCCAAACAGTGGTGCTTGCGTTGAGCCATGTCATAGACTCTAAACTGCACCTAAAGCTCTTAGCTCGATCTGCCTATCTGTCTATGTTTCTACTTGTTTCTCCATCTACTTTCTGTACGGAATATACGTTCGCATGTATGTGTACATAAATACGGTTCACATCGGACAAGTTGCGCTGCTTCGTCTCGCGCGGGCTCCTTCTTCCAGGGAGGGCCCTTAAAGCCTGTAGCCCGAAATTCCGCCGCGTGGGCGACTCGGCCGTCTTGTGCTGCGCTGCACAGGCAGTCAAAGACGAGGTGAAGATGGAAGACGTCAAGATGGAAGATGCAGTCAAGGAGGAGCACCTCAAACCCTAAAACCCTAAGCCCCTAAACCCCTAAAACCCTAAACCCCTAAACCCTAAACCCTCAAAGAAACCCTAAACCCTAAACCCCTAAACCCTACACCCTAATTAACAAGCAGCCCTAGGGTTTCATACACACCCTAGTCAAAGCCCATAAAGCCCAACAAGAACCGATCATAAGAACCTCAACCCGCAGGGTGAATGTACTCAAACAGTGTTTACTTTGGCCCCTAAACCCTAAACCCTAAACCCTAAACCCTAAACCCTAAACCCTAAACCCTAAACCCTAAACCCTAAACCCTAAACCCTAAACCCTAAACCCTATACTTTGGCCCCAAAGTGCCTATTCGGAATTCCCTGGGGCCAAAGTATACTAGTACATGGACGCTTAGACCTAAACCCTTAAAGGATCCCTTACAGGCACATGGGCTCTTAGGGTAATTTAGACCCTGCTACAGACCCTGAACTCTAAATACAAACCCTACTGTAAGGAGAGCCCGCATGTAGAGTTTAATTGGGGTTTCTAGGATTAGGGTATCATATGTATCTATAGATAGAGCATATGTGCCCCGAAAGCCTAACCCTAAACCCTGGACCTTTCATCACTTTATAGATATTTTGCGGCCCTGAACTCAATCTCCAGAAACCCGCGTTTGATGATATCCTCAGACTATCGTGAAGGCTAAACCCTCAACTCCAAACCCTAAAACCCGAAACCCTAAGCCCTAGACCGTAAAAGTCCGTCTATCGTAGATCAGAAAAAACTCCAAACCGAGGAGCTTGCTGAGATGAAGATGAGGGTTCAGATCTTGGCAGACGACAGCGACACGGATGCCGACGGCCGGGGCCATTTTGGGGGTTTAGGGTTTAGGGTTCAGGGTTCAGGGTTTAGGGCTTCGGGATGTTTAGGGTTGGGGGTTTTTGGGTTTAGGGTTTAGTTGGGGTTATGAGTATATCATTATGAGTTTTTGTAATTGTTAT